TATTAGTATTATTAATAAATCGTTCGATGAAATCGATACGGTAAAATTGCAATTTTATCGACGATTTTGTCGCATTAAAAAAAATTTTTTTTACCGGAACGTTTATTATGTACGATTTTCGTTACGCAACAACGACAACAACAACCACAACCATAAAAACAACCATAACAACAAATTTTTTTTTTTTGTCGTCACGTGTTTATGAGATCGCCCACTACTTTTTAAATCCGGTTGTTTTCATTTTTTTTTTTTTTAATTTCCCTAAAAATTTGTTTTATTTTTTAATAATAATTACAAAATGTCGACAATCTTGTTTTGAAAAAAAACTCTGGGTATTAAATAAATAAATAATTTTTTTTATTAATTTGTTTATAATTTTTTTCATTTTGTTTATTAATTTTTACAACAACAACAACAACCGTTGTTTATTTATAAATAATTCAATAATAATTTTTTGTTTAAAAAAATTGGCAACAACGCAATAAAAAAATTAATTTTTTCTTATATCCAGTGTAAGGAAAATTTCATATCGAAAGAAAAAATTACTCCCCAAATAATAATAATAATTATTACATTTATAGAAATTCATACGTATATTTATTATTATTATTATTAATTTAAATGTCGTATAAAAATAATTTCGCGACGATTTAAAACCGAAAACAAAACGTCGTCGTCGTCGTCGTCAATAAAACGCGTTTTTTATTATTATCATTATTATCATTCGTTTGAGTTTGAAGGTTTTTTAAGCAGAAGACAAACGGTCGAAAATGAAAAAAAAATAAATAAATAAATAAATAAATTATTCGAAGGTTTATTAAACATAAATAATAATAATAAGTTAAAAAAAGGTCTTTAATAAATTATTAAACTCGAATAACGAGATTGTCGCTTTTAAAATAATAAATTAATAATTAATATAAACGAAAATTTTACACGTAATAAATAATATCATCATCATCATCATTATCATCATTATTATTATTATCGTTATTTTTATTATTATTATCGTTTTTATTGAATCGAATAGTATCAAGTGGGGCAAATGTCAAGTTAGACAAAACTTTACTTTAACCCTCGTGTCTAGGTATAATAATTGTTATTATTTATTTATTTATTTTTTTTCATGCCACGGTCATTATTCAATACGTCTACGATTTATTTGAAAAATAATTTTGTTTTGTTAAACGTTAGAAACACGTTAACGTAGATCGTGTAAATAGAAATGATATTTTTTTTCGATACAATCATCTACTGACACTCGAATTTGTCGACGACGAAAAGACAAAATAATTAAACTTAAAAAAAAAATTTTTTTTTTTTCATTACATTTGCTAAACGTTGTTCTTCTTAACGATCGTGTAAATAGAAACGATATTTTCTAGTAGATTTCGATACAATCTACTACGACAATCATCTACCGACACGACACTGACAAAATAATTAAATTAAAAAAAAGTTTTTTTTTACATTACATTTGATAAACGTTGAAATAATTCGTAACGATCGTGTAAATAGAAATGATATTTCTACGACAATCATCTACTGACACGTCACTGATAAAATAAAATAAAAATTAAACGAATAATTTTCTTCTTTTTTTTTTGTTTTTCCCCCGCTTTTAACAAAAAAGGAAATTTTTAAATTATTATCATCATCATCAAATAAATTTATTTAAATTATTTTTACATACGTCAAAGGAATCGATGATGATGATGATGATGATAATAATAATAATAATGACGTAACGTTACGTTTGTATACGTATCGTTGAAAAAAATCTCGATATTAAATATAAAAAAAAAAAAAATTACATACGATTCGGTCGGTCCTTGGGATTTTTCTCTCTCTCTCTCTCTCTCTCATTCGAATGATAATAATAATGGTGATAATAATAATAATAATAATTAGAGGGCATTAAAGTATGTTTTTTAAATGATTTTTTCCGTGTTCTCGCTCGCTCTCACGAGTAAGGTCATCACAATATATATATATATATTTGTATTATTCGTATAATGAGAAATAAACTTAAAAACGAGTACCTGAATGTAATTATGTCCCGATGTCCGCCATCTTTTTTTTTTCTTTTTATTTCGACTTCTAAATAAGGTTTAAAAATAAGGTTTATTAATACATTTATTTTTTACTTTTTACTTTTTCTTTATTATTATTATGGTTGAAAAGTTTTTTTTTTTTTTTTTTAAACTTATGACGTCGTGATGACGTTGATTACCTAATGATAACGTGATAAGGATTTTTTTTTTTTTTAATATTATAGAAAGTATTTACGATAATGGATTGTCCGAAATTGGATTTTTTAGTTCAATGTAATAATTTTAAAAAAATCAATCAACGGACATATGGAATATGTGAAAATCATTATTATTATTATTATCGATAAGAACTTTTAAAAAATTCGCATCGTCTGCTGTTAAATCAATTTTTTTTTTTTTTTCGATTTTCCCATTCGCTTTAGTTTAAGAAAAAAAAAAAAAGAAATTTTAATGGACGTTCGTTCGGCCTAATTTTTATTAATTATTATCATTATTATTTTTTTTTTTTTTACGATAGTAATAATGATGATGATGATGATGATGATGATGATAATTCACATCGAATTTCAAAATTTTACAATTTTTTTTTTTTTTTTTCGAGAAAAAAAAATGAATGATTAAAATCTTGATGACCGAATCTCGTAAAAATCATTTTTAAAAAAATTTTTTTACATCCATTTATGATTTTTTTATTTTTTCTTTTCATAGAGTAAAAAACCGGAAATGAAATTTTTTTTTAACGTCCATTTATTTATAATGACGAATCGAAAAAAATTTTAAATAAAAAAAATTTTTTTTTCCGCTTTTTTAAAATTTTAGAAACGTGAGAGATTAAATAATTTTTTTTTTCTTTTTTTTTTTGCGAAACGTTTTTTTTTTACACGCGTTTGTTTTGTTATGAAAGCAGACGAAATATTATTATAAAAAAATTTCATAGAGAAAAAGAAAATTTCATAGAGAAAGAAAAAAAAATTACTTAATTTAAAAACAAATGACTTAATTATATTTTTAAAAAAAAATGGACTCATAAATGTGAGAGAAAAAATTTATTATTATTATTATTATATGTGTCTCCACATCGTCAAAATTATTATTATTATTATTATTATATGCTAAGATTCCATTTATACATATATTTTTATTTTACGACGCGAATTAATAATAATAATGATGGTTTTTTCAAATTCAAAAAATAACAAAAACCGAAATTCGCATAAAAAATTAATAAATTTTTTTTTTTTAAATTTAATTTTTTTCGCGCCATTAAAACGATTAAATAATAATAATAATAATAATAATAATAATAATAATAATAATAATAAATTTTATTCGATAACCATAAATTACGAATCAAATATTAAAAGTATAACTCACGTGACAAACCTTAAACAAGTGCCTAAAAAAAAAAAAAAATTGCAAATCGTGGTAAAACCCCGACTTCCGGGTTTGTAATAATAATATACAAAAACTATACGAGAGAGAGAGAAAGAGATGGGGGGAGAAAAGAGAGAGAGAGAGAGAGAGAGGGAAATATTTACTATATATATAATTTTATGACGTTTTTTGTCACGTTTCACGTTTTTTTTTTAAATAACCGACTCGAATATGGTTCGGGATTTTTTTTTTTTTTTAATTATTATGGCGGTTAATAATTTTTTTTTATTTTAGGATTGTAGTAAAAAAAAAAAAAAAAAACAAAAATATTTTGTACGCGATCGATCGGAATCGATTTCATGTATTCTCGTACCACGTCCACTTCCTGTTTATTCGTTTTTCGGTAGCGTTTAAGGCAAAAAAAAAAAAAAATGTTTGGAAATCAAATAATGAAATTTTAACCGGTTGTAATTTAAATTTAAAAATGACGTGTCAATAGATTTCCCCATATAAAAACATCTTGTTTTTTTTTTTTTTTTTTTTTTCGTTTCGTTTGTTTCGTTTGATTTTATTTCAACTATTTCAAGGTTTCTTTTTTTTTTTTTTTTTTTTTTGAAAAAAATAAATTGTTTAAAATAATTTGTCGACTTGTTTTTGTCGTGTCGTGTCAATAAATACCGGAAATGAAAAACCCAAAATGAAATTGGGAGGTTTTTTAAACACAATCCTAAAATTTGTTTAAAATGTTTAATAAAAATTCGCGAGTATTGTAATCGATATAATAATAATAATAGGAAATAATCGACAAATTTATTTATTTGTTATTGACACGACAAAAATACAATCGTTTAACTGTACGGAAATGATGTTTTTTTTTCAAACATGTTTTCGACTCTTGGGAAAATTGAAAAAAACAAACAAACAAACAAATCCGATAAAATTTTTTTAACAGACAAACATTTATAAATTCGCAATCAAAAAAAAATATTTTTTTTACCACAAACGCCTACAACAAACAACAAACAAACAACAAAAAATTTTATTTACAATTCGATCGAACCACTATAGAATTTTGTTTATAATAATTATCGATCAACCTTAATAATATCGATTTGTAAATATTAATATTTTAAACAATCGATATCGTGAAAACAAAAAAGGTCAAATTTCCGAACGGGGAAATCGGATAATTTCAAATTTAATAATAATAATAATAAGGTTTATAGGATTGGTAACAAACCTACTGACTGATTAAATCACAATCGATGATGTAGACAAAACGGAAATAGTAATAATAATAACAATACCTGATATAATGAATTTCCGGTGGTGTAAGACACGACGTAATGACTTCCAAAACTTTTAACGAAATGCGAAACGCTCGCTTCGTCCCCAGGTATGACGTCATTAGTGCCACGTGCAACTTCTTCTTCTAATTCTACGTCGTCGCCAACGGGACGCATTCGTCCCGATTCTCGGTGTCTCGCAACTCTAACGAGAACGTAACAATATTGTCCCGTTATGTAATTTGTTTTTATTCCTAAATGTTTGGCCATACCTGACCTTGACCAGCTACCTGTCGGGAAAAAAAAACAATCGATAAGTCTTTTTTTTTTAAAAAAAAAAAATAAATTTCGAATAAAATCAAAATTAAAATTAATCGGCCTTCAGTTTTAGTAAAAGCATTTCTTTTCGTTTTTTTTTTTTTTTCTTTTTACACGTATATATTTTTACGCAAGGTTGTTTTCTCCGCCATCTTTAAACAAATTAAATGACTCAGAAGACCTACGTATTTATTTAAATATATTTTTAGAAAAACGGATTTGACGTAAAAAATTCCAAAAAAAAATTAAAAAACCATCGGACTCGATGGTGGCGGTGGCGGCGAGTTTCGAAGGTTGTTAAAATTTTAATCACGTGACAAACAACAACATAAAATGAAAAGAAATAATAATAATAATGATACTAATATTAATAGCGGATACGGTTGTGGGTATTAGGATAATTATTATAAATTTAAATTAACCGATTTACGTGAAAAAATGTAATAATAATAATAATACTAACGAGAACAAAAAGAAAAAGAGAAAAAAACGCAATCATATTTTTTTTTTTTTTTTTTTACATAATGTAACAACAAACACGTGTTGTAATACCATAATAATAATAATAATAATAATCACGGAGATAATAAATGTTAAATTCGAAAAAAAAAAAAAAAGAACAACCCCATTTTAAAATGGCGACGATTTGGAATTTGTTTTTTTTTTGCAATTTAAGTAAAAAATGGCATTAATGCCAGACCCGATGAAGAAAAATTGATGGATTGCGAAAAAAAAAAAAGAATTTTGAAAGGAGGGTCAAAATGAATATTATTTAATGGGAATGAAAATGTCGTGTCATTAGAAAAAAATAAAATAAAAAAAAAATAAAAAAAATTTTTTTCCGAAGGTGAAGTTTATTAAAAATGATGGAACGTGAGAAGACATTTTTTTTTTTTTTTTTTTCGAATTCGTTCATCCGTTTGTTGTTGTTGTTTCATTGAAATTTGTTTGTGCAATAATAATAATAATTTTTTGTTTGTTAATAAAATGAGTTTTCCGTTAGCGAAATAAGATTAGAAAGAAAATTTATTTATTTCAAATTCGATATTCGTTTGGTTTATTCAATAAACGTGACATATAGATTTTATTGATTTTTTAATGACGTCACAACTCACCTGAAAACGCTCTCCAAGGTCTGTCGAGCCTTTCAAAATTGAAACCTCTAAAATAGGCTTGAAGTAATTGTCTTAAATTATCACAGAATTCCATGTGAAAATCACCTTCAAAAACTTTCTTTGGACTTTGGGGATTATTCGACGGTGTCAAAACTAACGATGAGAGATCTTTAAATATATCTATTGTGGGTTCTCTGTAGAGCCATTTTGAATCCGTGTCGTTTCTGGGTACCACCCTCATGCTTATAGAAAGATACCCGTATCGGCTAAAGAGGTTTATGGCACCTCCCAAACGAAGTTCGCTGCTAGCGTTAACATGTTCACATATCACGACCACTGCAACTATCCACGCAAACAAACAACAACAACAATTTTGAGTTGTTGTTGTTGTTTTTCTTCTTCTTATTCTACTCAATTTCACTTTTTTATCACTTGATGGTATTATTAAATTATTAACGATAAGTTCTTTCACTATCACAAATAAATCCAATATCGATTCTGTCATCCATGATGTTCGATTCGATATCGTTTTATTCTCATATTTTGTCATTAATTTCATTTTTTTTTTTTTTTATTTCAACTATATTAAAATCTCGATAAAGTTTTTTTCACGCTGAAACAAACAAACGAAAACAAACAAATAAACTAACAAAACTCAATTTTATTTTTATTAACGGGTCTTTTAATTATGATGACGTCACGGCTCGGATGTGACGTAAAAAAAAACATAAAATTCCAAATTTTATATTTAGAATTTTTCGTTTTTTTTTTTTTTTTTTTTCAATGACATCCAATTCGTAATTAATTCGATTTGTAAAAAATTTATTACTTATTATTATTATCATTATTATTATTATTATTAAAATTATTACGTAATGATAAATAAATAAATTAATTAATTAATTAATAATAGGCCGAATTTTTAGAATAAAAAATTTAAATTTTACGCGGGATGATTTGATAGTAAATCGATCGCGATTTTCTAAAATTTATTATTATTATTATTATTATTATTATTATTATTATTAAAATCCAGGTTTCGGGTGGAAAATTATTATTGATTAAGTGAAAGTTAAAAAAAAAAAAATTGTTTTGTTTATACCTGGAACTACCTGAAATTTTTGATTTAAAATAAAAAATTTAACATGATCGAATAGATTTTATTGTATGACCTTGAAAGTGAAATTTTTTGCACGCCACGTGGATTTTCACACATACCTTAAACTACAAAGTTAACTATAAAATTACCATTATATAAAGGTTTTCACGAAATCGTAGAGTTGAACGATAATAATAATAATAATAATAATAATAATAATTTTTTTTCTGATTTAAAACAAACATTTTAAAAACAAACGCACAACAACATTTTTTTAATTGGAGTGTTTGACGTTAACACGGAATTTGTTTTTTTTTTTCCTCGTCGGGTACTGGAATTTTTTTTTTTTTTAATTTGGTACTCCTACGTAACATTCCAGATTTCTTTCGTGTAAAAAATTCATTAATAATAATAATAATAATAATAATAATAACAGACGGCGGAATTTTTAATACAAAAAAACAAAAAAAAAAAAAGTTTGAAAATTTTTTTATGAATGTTGTTTGTTTTTGTTTTTTTTTTTTGTTTTTAATATGATTCGTGAGTTTGCATCGACGTAATAATGATGATAATAATAATGATAATAATGATGATGATGATGATGACGTCGATGATTTTAAAACAAAAAAAAAAAAACGAAACAAAAAAGTTTTGTTTAATTCTCGCACGAATTTTTACGAGACGAATTTAATGATTTTTTTTTTTTTAAATTATTTTCATTATTATTATTACTATTACTATTATTATTATTATTATTGTGTGAAATTATGTCACAATGTGATATTATACTTAAATTTTTTTCGGTAGGGAGTCAATAAACGATTTAAATAAATAAAAATAAAAGTGTTAATAATAATATAGTAAAAGGACTTTTTTATAATAACAATGCAAAATATTAATTTAAAATGTTCGTTGCCCCCCACCTCCCCCCCACTCTCGAAAAACAATAACAAAATTAACAACAAATGTAAAAACAAAATAATTAAAAAAAAAATGTTTTCATAACTAAACTATCTTAACAATTTTATTAATCAGAAAACATTGAATAGAAACGAAACGCAAAACGTTGAGAAATTTTTTTTTTTTCTTAAAAAGTAGGTTTACTTTCATGTGAGAGACAAACACACACACACCAGTAGCGTAGCCAGGCAATGTTATTACGTTTCCTATTTTTTTTCCCCTCTCTCGATCGGATTTCGTAGGAAGTTGAAAAAAAAAAAAAATGAAAAATCAAGTTTGAAAGTTCAATCATAACAAGTTTTTTTTTTTTTTTTTGTGACATTGAATAAATTCGTCATATGAAAATTCGCCGACGAAATTTATTAATAATAATAATAATAATAATAATAATAATAATAAGTTTTCCAGTTGGTTTGCTGGAACGTTTATTTATGTACACTTAACAGTATTTATTTTATGAACGTTTAAAATATTTATTATTTATGAATTATGATATTTGAATTTAATATTCCTTGACCCGTAAAATAAATACGAAATGAAAAGAAAAACTGTTTGACGTGTAAGCAGAAGAAATTTGAATGAACTTTTTTTTTTATATTAACATTGAATCGAACTCCACGGAATGTTTGAAAATTAAAAATTTTTTTTTTTTTTTTACAACAACTTTTAGGCTCATTTACAAAAAAAAAAAAAAAAAAAAAAAAACCTGAAACTGTCTAGGTAAAGTTATGTTGTTGACCTTGAGGTCAACCTTAATACGAATTTATTTATTTTTTTTTTTTTTTTGATGAATCTCACGCGACACGCTGGAATTTTTTTCTTTTTTTTTTTTTCATATAAAATTATTATTATTATTTCGGGTTCAGTTACCTATTCGAATTTTCTAGAATTTGTGTTTATGCGAATCATAACTTTGTTAATTTTTTAAAAATGAAAATCAAATAAGCGGAAATAAAAAACGTTTTGCGGTTAACGGTTTCCTATCGATAATTTTCCCTTTTTTTTTTAAAAGAAAATTATTGGGTCACTGAGCTTTCTATTATCATTATTATTATTATTATTATATCTTCGACTGACTTTTGTACATTTATTTAACCCAAAAAAAATTTTTTTTTAAAAAAATTAATTGAAGTTCAATTGAATGGTTCATAACAATAATTATTTTTTAAATTGAAAAACAAGAAAATAAGAAAATAAGAAAACCTTGGCTTGTATTTATTTATAATAAACAAATAAGTCAATTAACATGTCTATATGTTAATTAACATTAATTAATAATCGAAATGAATAATTAAAAAAAATTTACTTAAACGTCGTGCGCTCGTTTTTACTTTTTTCAAAGGGGGAGGGGAGAGGGTGGGTACTTTTAATTGTTGGTATGGAAGGTACGAAGGTCGAACCTTACATAAATTTAATAAAATCTTAATTAATATTTATCGTTGTAAAAAAAAAAGTTAAATAAATTGAAAAAAAAAGATTTTTCCATTGTTTGACGTTTTTATAAAAAAAAATTATTATCAGGGTCGTAAAAAGGATATTTTGACGACACCTTCCTTCCCTTTTTAAATAAATTAATGTAATCTTGACATTGAGAAATAATAAAACGTAAAAAAATAAATTAATTAATTAATTTTCCTTCCCTTTTACTTTTTTTTTTTATTATTTCATAATAAAACATCAAAACAATCTCTCTCTCTCCTTCTCTCTCTTTTTTGTGATGTTGCACAATTTTTTGTAAAAAAAAAAAAAAAGCTTTGACCCGATATAGGAAATTGACCTTCACTGTCACTTGTTGTTAAAAATGTGATGATAATACATTTCCTCCGAGTGTGTGTGTGTGTGTGTGGGAGTCATAAATAATAAAAAACTGATGGAAAATTTCGTAGAAATTACTTACGGTATCTATCTATCCCCGCGTTTATTACTCTTACCACTAATAATAATAATAATAATATTTTTTGATATCATTTCGAGGTTATAAATGTTGTAAAAAAAATTTTTATATACCTCTATGGCGCGATGTTATTCCATAGAATGTTTAAATACTGTGAATGGGAAAACTAAATCACGCTCATACGTCCATTTTTATTTTTTTTCTATTTACAAATGGATTTTTCATAACTTGAAGGAGTGGGAGAGGGTAGGGGTAGAGGGGGTAGGAAGTAGAGGGTGGGGGTTCAGACATTTAAAAAAAAAATTAATTAGAATAAACAAAATATTTTTTTTTTCTCGTAAATTCTCGTATGAAGAATAAAAAAAATTTAGTTTTTCCAAAGTTTATTTTGTTTCATAACAACCGTTTAAAATTTATTATTATTCCGTCACCGAGTTCATTATTGAGTAATAAAGTGGTATTAAAAACCATTGTTCGTCCTAATTTTTTTTAAAAAAAAAAAAAGTTTTTTCATAACAGCTTTTTAAGAAAAAAAAAAATTTTTTTTAACGAAACGACCGTCCCCGTTTACATTTTCTTACTAATTTACAAAAAAAAAAATTACGCGTTTTATAATTAAAGGCTTTTTTTTCTTTTAACCATTAATAAACACACTCTTTTAAAATAATAATAATAATAATAATAATAATAATAATAATAAGCAGAAGAAAAATTTTAAACTCAAGAATATAATTTTTTTTAAAAAAAAAAAAAGCCCAAGGTTTTTTCTTTTTTCCGACCTCGTTTTCTATTTATTATTTAATTATTTTCATTTTTTATTTTTTTTTTGTAAAGTTGGTAACCCTCTTTTTAAAACGTTATCATCATTATTATTTTTTTTTCCCGGATGTGAAAATTTTTAATCGTAACTTTTATCCCGGCGTTTCTTTTTTTTTAAAAAAAAATTTTTCTTTTATAGGCGGAAAATCAATCGGAAAAGTTTTCCGGAAACGTTTTCATAAATTTTTTAAAAATTATCATTAAAAATATTTTTCTTTTACCTAAAATTCAAATAAATTTACCGGTTAACGTGTTAAACAGTAGTACCAACTTAAAAAAAAAAAATTTCACTCGTGGCAAACGTGTTTTTGTGTTTTTAAAGTAATGAAAAATTTGCAAATGTTTTAAATAAATGGTAAAAACGTAAAAAAACACCCTCGAGTAATGATATTTCCAATCCGTCACGGTCTACTTAAAAAAAAAAAAATTAATTTTAATGAAACGAGAAAAAGAAAAAGAAGAAGAAGCAAGGAAGCCATGCTCTTGAAAGAAGTAACATCACGAAAAGTTCAATACTCGTGTCTGGGTTAAGGTTAACAATAAAACTAGTAAAATCAACCGTGGAAAATGAAAAAAGAAAAAAGGAAAAATGGAAAATTGTACGATTCGTCGGACATATTTAATCGGTCAGAACGAAAAAAGTAACAAGAAGTCGCACCCACCACTGTTTCTTATGTAGCGAACACATTTTTTTTTTTTAACATTACGCAAATATTATTTAAAAAAACTTTCA